CAGATAAATTTCAGTAAGTGTGTTCAATACTTTTTCCCTGTGCCATTCCACATTATTACAAATAACTTCATTTCTGGACATTTATGGTTTGATTTCTTTGYATGTATGGATCACTTGGGTTGTTACCAACATCTGGTGAAAATTTCATGTCATTAGCACCTCTAGTAATATATTTACTGAGAAAAAGGGTGATGTGTTCAATACTTATTTTACCCTCTGTATAAGAACCGTGATTAAACATTAGCGTGAGGAATAATGTCTGACATTTTGACTCCGTGTAGAGACAGCCTGCCCCTTTAACATATGTCATGAGGCGGGGTCAGGATGCAAAGAGGCTGGTTATTTGATGTGTTTCTTGGTTCTGGGCATTGTTTAGCTGATGCCTGTCGGAGGCAGATCAAAACAAAAACTAATCAGTCCATAGCTGTGTCCGGATGGTTTTGTGTGGCTCACTCAAACATTCACATGTCATTATTATTAACTGGTGTTAGATCTGAACAGGTAAAGGGTAAAGAACATTGCATATTTTTTACAATACAAATGATGCCAAAATAATTGTTTATGTTCGTAAGATTCCACAAAGATCATGAGCACAAAACAGCCCAATTTAATTCAAGACAATTCAGGGTCAAATCAGGTTAAATAAAACTAAACAAATTTATAACTATTTCTTTCTGTAGGGGTTTTTAAAAAGCATAAAGTAAAAATGCACCTGTGTATTTTCTTCATTTTCTTGTAGTCTTATTTAACACAAATGATTTGTAATGTTTTCACTGACCGATTAGATTTAAATGCTAGAAAAGATACTCAAATAATGCTAGGACAGCTTCTAAAAAGACCAAGAAGTTCACCAAGTATTCATCTAAGAAGATTGTGGATGATTCAACAATCAGCAGATTATGTGGTGAGTGTGTCAAAGACGGGTAAAATGGAGGATCCACTAAAGTCTCAGTTCTTCCAAGGAACGATGAGTCATTGCTAACCAGTTTATTTTAAACTTAGGTTCTTTATTAAACCAAAAATATTCTAGACTGGAAGACATGATTTTATAAACATTTGTATGTGTAAAATAAGAAAATTATATATTAAAAAAAAGAATAAAGATTTAAGATGACAAGGGAAAAAAGACTGGAAATTACGTTTGAAAGCTCAGTATGAGGTTTGAGCCCCCAGGCAGCCTTGCAACAGAAACCATCATTCAGCTGTGATCAATAAAGTCATTCAGGCTTTTAGGACCACCAACAGTCCACCTTTGCAACCTAAATTTAACCTCAAATTTTATTACGCGAAGGCAAGAAGCCCTCAAGACTCGTTAGGATGTGAGCTTTTCTAAGATGAACAGAAAGACAAGTGGACACGTGTTCTGTGGCCCGATGAGTCCAAGTTTGCTTTCTGGAGAAACTCATGTCATGTTTGACAGTTCGTAGCAGCAAAGAGGAAAGACCATTCAGGTTGTGATCGGTGAAACACATGGTGTAGTTGGCGTACACATACAGTACAGACCAAAAGTTTGGACACACTTTCTCATTCAAAGAGTTTTCTTTATTTTCATGACTATGAAAATTGTAGATTCACACTGAAGGCATCACGTGGATTTATATACTTAACAAAAAAGTGTGAAAGGTTCTTCAAAGTAGCCACCTTTTGCTTTGATTACTGCTTCACATACTCTTGGCATTCTCTTGATGAGCTTCAAGAGGTAGTCACCTGAAATGGTTTTCACTTCACAGGTGTGCCCTGTCAGGTTTAATAAGTGGGATTTCTGGCATTATAAATGGGATTGGAACTATCATTTGTGTTGTGCAGAATGTGGAAACAGTACACAGCTGATAGTTCTACTGAATAGACTGTTAGAATTTGTATTATGGCAAGAAAAAAGCAGCTAGGTAAAGAAAAACGAGTGGCCATCATTACTTTAAGAAATGAAGGTCAGTCGGTCTGAAAAATTGGGAAAACTTTGAAAGTATCCCCAAGTGCGGTCACAAAAACCATCAAGTGCTACAAAGAAACTGGCTCACATGAGGACCGCCCCAGGAAAGGAAGACCAAGAGTCACCTCTGCTGTGGACGATAAGTTCATCTGAGTCACCAGCCTCAGAAATGGCAGGTTAACAGCAGCTCAAATTAGAAAACAGGTCAATACCACACAGAGTTCTAGCAGCAGACACATCTCTAGAACAACTGTTAAGACGAGACTCTGTGAATCAGGCCTTCATGGTAAAATAGCTGCTAGGAAACCACTGCTAAGGACAGGCAACAAGCAGAAGAGACTTGTTTGGGCTAAAGAACACAAGGAATGGACATTAGACCAGTGGAACTCTGTGCTTTGGTCTGATGAGTCCAAATTTGAGATCATTGGTTCCAACCACTGTGTCTTTGTGCGACACAGAAAAGGTGAACGGATGGACTCTACATGCCTGGTTCCCACCGTGAAGCGTGGAGGAGGAAGTGTGATGCTGTGGGGGTGCTTTGCTGGTGACACTGTTGGGGATTTATTCAAAATTGAAGACATACTGAATGGCTACCACAGCATCTTGCAGTGGCATGCTATTCCATCCAGTTTGTGTTTAGTTGGACCATCATTTATTTTTCAACAGGACAATGACCCCAAACACACCTCCAGGCTGTGTAAGGGCTATTTGACCAAGAAGGACAGTGATGGGGTGCTGCGCCAGATGACCTGGCCTCCACAGTCACCGGACCTGAACCCAATCGAGATGGTTTGGGGTGAGCTGGACCGCAGAGTTAAGGCAAAAGAGCCAACAAGTGCTAAACATCTCTGGGAACTCCTTCAAGACTGTTGGAAGACCATTTGAAGTGACTACCTCTTGATATATTTTACAGTTAAAATATGTTTATCAAATAAAGTCTAATGTTACAACTAATCATGGATCCCTTTTTGGATCACATTTTCAATGGGAGACAGGTGTGGACTGTAGGCAGGTCATTCTAGAACCTGCCCTCTTTAACTATGAGGCCACGCTGTTGGAACACGTGCAGAATGTGTCTTCATTGTTTTGCTGAAATCAGCAGAGACGTTCCTGATGAAGACATGGCTCGGATGGCAGCATATGTTGCTCCAAAACCTGGATGTAATATTCAGCATTGATGGAGCCTTCACAGATGTGACAGTTGGGCACTAATACACCCCCATACCATCAGAGAGGCTGGCTTTTGAACTATGCGCTGATAACAATCCAGACGGTCCTTTTTGTCTTTTTCCTGGAGGACACCACGTCCATGATCTCTGAAAACAGTTAGAAATGTGGACTCTTCAGACCACAGGACACTTTTCCACTTTGAGTCAGTCCATCTCAGATGAGCTCAGGTCAGAGAAGCCAGCAGTGTTTCTGGGTTTTGTTGATATCTGGCTTTGTTTTTGTATGATAGAGCTTTAACTTGTAGATGTAGATAAACTGTGTTCACTGACAGTGGTGTTCTGAAGTCTTCCTGAGCCCATGTGTTAATATCTGTTACAGAATGATGTTTTTAATGCAGTGCTGCCTGAGGGGTCAAAGGTAATGGACATTCAATGGTGGTTTTCAGTCTTGCTGCTAACTTGTAGAGATTTGTTCAGATTCTCAGAAACTTTTGATGATATTATGGACTGTAGATGATGAAATCAATAAAATCCTTGCAGTTGTACATTGAGAAACGTTCTTAAACTGTTGGACTCTTTGCTCATGCAGTTCACAAAGTGGTGAACCTCACACCATCCTTGCTTGACTGACATGACTGAGCCTTTCAGGGATGCTCCCTTTATACCCGATCCTGACACTCACGTGTTTCCAATGAACCTGTTTGTCCCAGATGTTTTGGAACGTGTTGCAGCATCAAATTTAAAACGAGTGAATATTTGTAAAAAATGTATATATATAAAAAATAACGTTTGAACATTAAATATCTTGTCTTTGTAGTGCATTCAATTGAATATAGGTTGAAAATAATCTGCAAATCATCAAATTCTGTTTTTATTTGTTTTAGACAACTTTATTGGAATAAGGGTTGTGTTTTGTGTACTGATTGTTTTGTGTAGGAACATTTACAGTTCATATATGGACATATGCAGTGATCATGGTAATAAATCTTTCCACAAGATCTGTGGATATTTCAGCAAAATAACACGACATGAATTTTTAATAATAAAAACCAAATTTACATTATTGTTCTCATCCTATTTAAAAAAACTTCCAATTGTGGATTATCAGTGTTTTACATAGCAGCGTGAGTAAATATGGTCTGAAAAAAAGTTGTTGCTTTTTTCAATGAAATCTCTCCCGTATGAAGTTTGCTGGGAAACTACATTCATACATGCTCACGGGTAAAATAAAAATGAAAACCAATTAGTTTACAAGGCTGTTGTCGTTGCTAATGTGCGAATTAAAGACAACAGCCACGATCAAAAGCTGCATCTCAGAGGGCTCTATCAAGGTAAGGGCCACTTACCAGGAGCAGGTGAGGTGTGCTCATGCATCTAAATTTCCCCTGAGGGAAATAACATTTCAGAATATCTTCACGGTGGTTGTGACCTTGTCCGTGGAATAATTATACTGTAATCAGAGATTTCCCTGCAGGAATATTACCACATTTTCTAGTCATAACTTTAACATTAGGTTTAAAGACCTTTCACCTTGTTGTTTCTGCACTTCTTAGAATTGAAACCAGATCTAATCTTTATTATTAAGTCAGAAAATGAGTTCTGTTTGCTCTGGACAGGTGTGTCTGCTAAATACCCAGCAGTATAAGCATTAAATCCTAACATAAATAATCTCTTTTTCAGCTGACTGCCAAAAATATCCAGTGTATGCGAACGCTGCTGAACCTAGCTCACTGCCACGGGGCCGTGCTGGGCACCTCCTGGCAGCTGGTGTTGGCTACTCTCCAGGTACTGCAAAGCTTTGTTACCAAAACAGTTTTTTTCTTTGAACACAACATTGAGCACATTTTGTAACTACACAAGGAACATTCAACACATTTGTACATGTGTAACCCTTTACAATCATATCTTTCAGGTAATAAATAATCTGGTAAAGTTTTGAATTTGGTTAAGTAGATTTTGTGTTTTCTTTGTTCAGAATTTAGAAAATAAGTGTCATTTTAAAGTGTTTAGAAAATAAGTGTCATTTTAAAGTGTTTATAAGATCAATCATAATTTGATAGATAAAAGTAGTTTTAACATATTCTTAGCTGAGATCTCCTTAGACTTGTTTTTAAACTCTCCTTCACCTGCTGATTTTTCTCTTCCAGCATTTAGTTTGGATCCTGGGTCTTAAACCAGGGGCAGGTGGTGCCCTGAAACCTGGTCGAGCAGTTGAAGGGCCCAGTACCGTGAGTCTTTCTTTGTTTAAAATGATCTGATGTGTGTATTTACATCCACATACTTTGCGCTGCTAACCTTTTCTGGGTTTAATGATGAAATGAACTGATAGTGTGTGTGTTGTTATCCTGAACAGGTGCTGACCACAGCAGTCATGACGGACCTGCCCGTCATCTCCAACATCCTGTCCAGACTGTTTGAGAGCTCACAGTAAGAATCGGTTTTAACAGCTAAAAATGAACTCTGGGTAAAATAAATCTGAGGCCAGATGTGCTGATCTTAGGAATGCCAACATCCTTTAACATGCTAACAACAATGCTAGCTTTACCGTTTCACTGTGAGTTATACATTTTGTTCCTGATTGTCTCCTGGGAGCCAGAACATCAGGCCCATTCTGTTTCAGTCGTAGGTCATTGCCCTTGGATTATTGTGGATTCTTTGATGAAATTCATTTTGAGAGCCTTCTGTTTTTTTTTTGTTTTTTTTTTTTACAGTTTATGAATTTTTTGTTTTTTTAAGATGGTTAAAGGAATGATTTGTATCTTTTGAACTGTGTTCCTATGGAAAAGTTGTGAACATATATCATCCTACCTGTAGTAGATAGTGTTTTGAATGACCTCTGTTTAGAGAAAAAAGGTTAAATCTGATCAGGTTGAGAAGCTAACGGCTAATCTGAGTGGACCTAAGAAGTTGGCTGCAATTTAATTTTGATTAATGCAAATGTTTTATAAACCTTTACACTGCAATCAATTTTGCATTACGCCGGTATTCTACAATAAATTGAAATTCATGCAGGATGCACTCGCTTCGGATGTTATCATCCATTAAATGAACGTTATTAGCCGTTATCAGTCCCATAGAATGGCTTCAGACTGTCAGCTGGTTAGTATGAGGCATAAAACCACTAAGTTTAATTTTAGAGAAAATGACATGGACCGGTAGACCGGACTCCGGCGGTAGCAGATTGTTGCATTCCACCATACAGTATATGGCACTGGTAACCCACTAGGGGGCACAGTCGGGACAGTTTGAAGCCATTCTATGGGACTGATAACTACTAATAACGTCCATTTAATGGACTGATAACATCCAAACCGGCTGGCAGGATGTGCCCAACGCTGCAGTGGAAGTGCTACAGGTAGCAGTACAGTGCAAAAGTGACAACATTACAAATGCTTATAAAACAGCATTTGCATAAACTACTGATTGCTTTTTTATGAGTTTTTTTTAATACGGCAATGGTCACCTTTTGTCTTGGCCACACTAGTGATGCAACATTTAGTCAACGTAATCGATTACATTGACTGAAAAAATCAATCAACACAGATTTTTATTATCGATTATGGGTATTATCAATCCACATAAATGTTCATTTGTAACTGCAATGCAATACATCAGCCGCTGGGGGCAGAATTGCTTCTTTTGTCTGTGGTTGCTTTGTTTACTAATGAAGAAGAGGTGTAGGCTGGCAAAACACAGAAGACGACACAATGGGCAGAACAAAGAGCAATAATAATGGCAGAATGTAAAGACGATCATGTCGTAGAGAAAAACAAAACAAAGCAAGATGTGAACTGTCATAAGTTGGCTACATTTAACAGAACCTTATCAAGAGACAGTAAAATGCAGACTCGGACATTCCATGTTCGTAGTGGCGGTGAAAACATTATTAGTTTTTTTTATTATTAATTTAAAGTTTATTCATTTAAAAACAACACAAATTCAACATACAACAAAACACAAATCACAAATTAAATTAAATGAAAGGTAGCAGAAGAAGAAGGAATCTTATAGTCTCTGCCCCTTTTTTACAAACAAATTCAAAGAAGATATTCTTCAATTTACAATAAACGTAAATAACAATTTCCTATTTGAAAAAACACAAATTTTACACACAATAAATACAATATCAAAATAAAATGCAAGGCAGCAGAA